CCCCAAAACCCCAAAACCCCAAAACCCCTTGATTTAGAACTGCGACAGAATTGAATGGATAATATGAAATTTATGAATTTTAATTGATCAATTTTAGTAAAAACCTTTACAAAACAAGTAAATCCAAGAAAATATAAAAATTTTGACTCAGCAACATCAATTAGGAAAAAAATAGTCTATAAGTAATCAACCTTGTTAAAGATAGTCAAGAGTCATGAATTTAAGATAGAACATTTTCTAAAAAATTTTAATATTATATCGACATTGATGCTACTTTGGTAAATCAGATGATATTCATATTATTCATACTTTTAGTGATAAAGAGGAAAAACAAAAATAATGTCTGTAGCAAAGAAAAACTATGAATTATTACCTTGATGTGAAAAAAATGTAGCAAGATCACAAGAAATGAAATCAAAGAAATATGAGAAATATAAAAGAAGAAATTAAGTTAAACAATACTTAGAAAGTAATTATGAATATAAGTTCAAACTTGTTGAGATTTTGGCCAATTAACTGCTCTTTCACAATTGGCATCTTGAATTCGAACCCTCTGCTTGCTTGCAAGAATATGAAGGGCAGCAATTATAAGGAGCTGGATTGCAAATCGAGCCAAATGAAAAGCATAGTAGTTCTCTTGATTAGTAAATTGAGGAGGAGAGCTCTTGAATTTACCCGGTTACCATTTCAAATGCTAAGATAAGTAAGATGTAAAAGACTTATAGTTTGTTCATTTCTTAAAATTTCGTTGTATGACTTTGACTTTTAATTTTATATTATAGATCCTATTAAAGTTTCAGTATTTATACCCAAAGAAAAGTATACAACGTGCGTACAGAGGTCATCTTAGTAACATGATTACTATTCATAAGGCCAAAGAATCGTTTAACTGAAGGATAATATTTCAAAATCTGAGCAAAAAGTAGCACATCCTACAAATTTTATCTGAAGGCATCATTAACTAATCGAGATTTTTTCATTTTACTAGATCGGTACTCCTGAAAATTACTTGAAATAACTTTTTGGCAGATATTTCCTAATAGTTTATTGACCTCAACGGATCTCACAGTAGCTCTAAATAAGCAATTAGAAAGCAGTCATGTGACTATAATAAGTATTGATCGAATTTCTAAAGGATTTCTAAAGGGTTTCTAAATATTTCTGTCCTAAAATCTCAAACATTGGTCAAAATATTCAGTAAAGTTCCATGAATAATAAAATCGATAAATCGGCTAATAGAGATACAAACTTTCCCACTTATTGACTTCTGAGAGATCACACATACCGAAAAATAAACAGGAATATTAAAATACAGATGCTGGAAGAAATTTGAATTTTAAGAAAATGACCAAATTGACTCAAGAAAAGACATAAAACATTTATAATAATTAAATTCGCCTTAAATCTGCGAGATCTCAACTGCCAGTACCCTCTGAATAAATGTTTTCAGGGAAATCTTTCAAGAGAAATGACATTTACAGGGCTACAATGTCATACGGTATGTCATAGAGCTGACTGAGACTCGTGAGATGAAAAGAAAGCGAATGAAGACTAAAATTCATTCAGGATCCCAAGTGATTTAAATATATTTATCGTTGCACGTTGTAATTTTAAATAATAATTAGTATTAATAATATTAAGCTCATAATCCATCATCTAAAGTGAAATTTATAAGATTTCATCCAGTAATAAGTTTAAGAGTTTGAAAATAAGTTTTGTTCGGCTTAAGATGCCATATTGACGATTTGAAATTAAAAGTGTATGATATCAAATCTCAAAAATGGTAGTAAATCATCGAAGGATACTTTTGATAATAATATTTTTATGATACTTTTTAATTCAATAAATTTCTGATCTATCACCAGAAATCTCTATTCGTCTTATGGGGTTTTGGGGTTTTGGGGTTTTGGGGTTTTG